CATTACACAGCCAAGTTCCAAGAATTTTAAGCGTTTCAGATTTATCGTTGTCGTGCTTCTTTTTTGCAACACAAGTACCTTTTTTATTTCCTGATCCTGGCTGTTGATATAAATGTCCACCTTGAGATTCGTAACAGCTATTACATTTGTACTGCCATCGTTGAGAGTTTGTCTGTTGTATTTATATAATGCTTTCTCCCGGAACCAAGTCGGTTATTATTATATTAAAATTGGGCTTTGTATGATGATATTTCTTATCATGACATATTTCCTTAATAATGCATGAATGCATAATGACTGAATGAATAAATAAATACTAACAACATTGCCATACTAGCCAAACTCCCAGGAAGACCAACCTTTATTTCGACTTTCGCGGACTTGCTGCAGTTATTGGTTTGATTGATTGTTCTATCTGCTCCTTACATTCTTCATATTCACCACCGCTGACCCCACACGCAATCATATCGACCCCAATCAACTTTTCCACTTCCTTTACCACACCATTCTGTAATAATAATAAGAAAATAAAATGCGGAATTATCTTGCAGTCAATTAACTTGCATAATATTAATATTAATACGTGTCAATATTAATGAGGAATTATAATTACCCTTATTACATTCCAAAATCTGTCAACCAGGTTTTGGATTCGCCCTCCTCTCTCCAGCAAGGTAGTTCCAGCGAACAGATCAAACGAACGACATATATATTCGGAAATGGCACATTCATAGCGAATATTTGAATGGTATTTCCATAAGATTGCACGCCATATACCAGCATACGTTGTACAATCTTATATGCCGCTCGATCTATGCCGTGCTGCGAGATTGTCCGTTGTAACAAAATGAGTTGGTATTTTTTAACTTACTTCTCCTGCCATTTTTTGCGTTAACATGCGGGCCTTTGAACTTGCAGAGTGGTGTTCAGCCCTTAGTAGATTTATAAATACAGATATTAATATTAATGGTTTGGTTATACTATTACAGTTAGTACTATTATTATTATTATTATTTTTATTATTATGTAAACATACCAGTGAATCTTAGTATTCGCTATAGAATCACAAACTGACTGAACAAGACAGTCAGCTTCTCCACAGTCCATGAGTTTTCACTCACAGATTTATCAGCAGCACTCGTAACATTATACTTGAATATCCTGTCACTAATATCAAGTGCAGGTGAGGGGGTCATAATCGCAGATCCAAGCACCCCAGTGACGAAAGTATAAGCACTCTCAGTGTCGCTGACACGGAATAGGGTCTCTAGGTCTTCAGCCGTGCATGGATCTTGATAACCAGAGACGAGGAAGGTATCAAACTCATCCCTAAGAAGGGGAATCTTTATGTCATCTGCGAGAGATTGTTCGAGGAATGTAGCAAGTTCACCAGGATCTGGAAGCGAGTTGAAGCAGTTTTGAAAAAAAAAAGCAAGTTAGTCAACATGCTATAGTAACATTCGCTACATAACCTCACTCCATAACTGAATTCACACTATAAGAAAACAATTACTCTGTCTACTCTACCCTATATACACACTACTCTATGTCCCCAGCACCCGAGTCACAAAGTCGTTACCTGTTTGGGGAGCTGCAGCGTCTGCGAGTTTTTGCTGCAAGGACTACACGTTCCGTCTACAACTGCTGACTTCCGCCTCCAGACGCTCTTCTCTCTTCTCCAGCCTAGTCTTCTCTTTCCACTCGGCTCGCTCCGCCGCAGTCCCCTCATTTCCCCGCAACTTTCTCTTAAGCTCCGTCAACCACTGTCCGTCCTCTCCTTCCTTAAACTCGTTCTTCTCGTTTTCCGCCTTCGCTTTTTCCACCTCCGCCTTCGCCAACTGTTGTCTGATTTCTTCGATGCTTGCCATTTTGTTTGTTCGTTTGTTTTATTTCGTTGGGAGATGTGCTGCGCAATGCTACTAATATTTCAGTGGCTTAATCAATGACGTATTAGTATTAGTAGGAACTTTCTAGACTTTTTCACAATTGTAACCATTGTTCGTCATTGTATGCAGAATGGCTCGACTCGAATTATTGTTTTCAAGCTTTTGGTTTATATTGTCGAGCTGATTGTAAGTCTTATAATGCAGCGAGAGACCGAGAATAAGTCCGATTAATATCCCACAAAGGAATTCAACGGAAGTGAACATTTTGCAGTTTTTTATGGAATAAAATGCGTTTGATATTGATTATTTAATGTTTGTAATTTTGATCGATTGTAAACTTGTTTAAGTGAAAATGTGGTGGAATGGTGCTGTTTTTATAACCAATTTCCAGTCGTCAAAAACGCCGATCAGAATTATAAGCGTCCATTAGCATATCATTACTTTGAAACAATTGCTGAAACGATGTATGGGATTGACGAGATTGATCTATAATACAATTATTGGATATCTACAAGGAAGACGTTACGTTATCGTTCACGTCGATGGAACCAGAAGATTTATCTAATTAATTAAATTAATTATCTATTTTTAGGTGATTTTCAATGAATGGTTCTTATCATGGGCTCACGAACCGAAAAAAATACGAAAGGGAAACGCACGAACGATTCGTGGCCATTGATCCGGGAGTGAGAATCGCGTTTGCGATGTACTCACCTACCATGGATGTTTGTGAGATTGGTAAGAACGATTCTCAGAGGCTGATAAGGTTGGAATATCATGCTGACAGGTTAATCTCAAAGAAAGACAAACTGGACAAATCAACATCCAAGAGAAAAAAGACAAAGGCTAAGAGAATCGATAAGGCCATAAGTCGAATACTTCGAAAGATCAAGAACCTGAGTGCTCTTTTTCCCCAAGGTAGCAATTACAAAACTAGTCCCTTCATTCAAGAAGGCAACCCTAGTTGCTTAAAATTAGTTGGTTCAGACAATTTAAACACTAAATTTCCTGTTTTAGTTTATTGACGAGGTCGAGATAATACTGTTATTGGAGAAACTTATGCTGGAGGAACTCTGTTTGATGCCAATTTCATTGCTGAAAAAAAAGAGTTGAGTTGAGCCAATGGTGAGTTAGCTGAGTTCTTCTGAAAGGTTTATAATGACCCTGATTGCGTAAAATTTAACTCGCGTGATGAAGTAATAAGCAAAGACGGAAATACAAAAAGACCAATTCGGAGTGAGCCAATTTCCGACTGAGAAGCCAAAATACTTACCTATCAGAAGCGCCATCGTTCAGTTGATGCTATGGCACAATCTTATTTAGAAAGAGCAATCGAAATAATTGAAGCCAATGGAGTTGATTATAAGAATCATGTTGGAGAATGAAAACCAATTATTAGGAGAATTTCTGAGTCTGCCATCAAAACACGAACATTACTACCAACTTATAATGAACCAAGAAAGAAACGAAAACTAGAAGCATAAGCAATTAGTCGTTCTTTAATATCGATGGATTACCATCAATAATCGGGACAAATTTCCATGATTCTCTATATATACTCTGCTTGAGGTAGTATGACAATAAATATGATGATTTTGGTTCGCTGTGCCCCAATACTACACGTCATGACCAGCAAGCCATTATCGTATTAGGAATAATGAGTAAGTATGAAAATTAATAAACTATAGGAGACGATGCGC